CCATAGAGATTGAAAGTTGATTAGTGGTTGCCTAGGGGAAGGAGCAATGGGAAGTTACTGCTAAAAAGTCCAGAATTTATTGGGGGGATTATAATATTCTGGAAGTAGATAGTGATAAATGGTGGTGCGAACCTTGAAAATACTAAACATACCTGAATTGTACACTTTAAAATTATAGATTTTATTTTATGGGAATTATATATCAACATAAGAGAAGAATAAATAGCACACACAAAAATTATACAAGAACCAGGACACACCTAAAGAAGAAGGCTTACCTTATCAGACAGCAGGATGTGTTTTAAAACTCCAGTAATCAAGACAGGGATGCCTGGGGTTGCATTAAAACCTTGTGCTAGTTACCACGTGTGCATATTTTCATTCCATGATGGGCCTCCATGAAAATACCATTGATGACATTCCACAAATGTCTGTGTGCATCTCATTCCAGTGACCCACAAAGTAATAAATCTCCCTGTCAGTGGTGCACCTAGCAGTGAAGGAAAACAGAAAGAAGCTGCAAATAGTTGTTTCTCAAAGTGTGGTCCAAAGGCCTCCTGCACTGGAACCACCAGTGCAGCAGATTCCTGGGCCCCACTCCACATCTCCTGCACCAAAGTGTACAGGCTCACCCTAAGATTCTCCTGCTGCGTGAGGTTCCAGGACAATGCTGTGAGGTTATGACAGTGCATACTGCACTGGCCAAGTTCACCTACTCAGTCCCAAATTTTACCTCCTTGGAAGATCATTCAAGAACAGAATAGCTTGCCTGAAGTTCTTTAAGATGCAAAGAGTTGGCATGTGTACTTCTTCAGCTTGTTGAAGGCCTAAAGAATTTAGAACCTTTTTTTATTGTCTGAAGTTTTATATATGTCTCCTTTTTCCCGGATTGACACTCCCCCTCCCCAGCGATTCCTATCTTGGGCAAGCCCCCACCACCCCAGTGTCTGTGTCCATTGGTTATGCTAATATGCATGCATACAAGTCCTTTGGTTGCTCTCTAACCACCCCCTCCCATACCATTTGTGTCTGTATCTATTTTTTTTCAAAAGTTTATTATGGTCTTTATTATCCATAAATGGGTGAGATCATGTGGTATTTTTCCTTCATTGACTGGCTTATTTCACTTAGCATAATGCTCTCCAGTTCCATCCATGCTGTTGCAAATGGTAAGAGTTCCTTCTTTTTTACAGCAGCATAGTATTCCATTGTGTAGATGTACCACAGTTTTCTAATCCACTCATCTGTTGATAGGCCCTTAGGCTGTTTCCAAATCTTAGCTATTGTAAATTGTGCTGCTGTGAACATAAGGGTGCATATATCCTTTCTGATTGGTGTTTCTGGTTTCTTGGGACATAGTTCTAGAAGTGGGATCACAGGGTCAAATGGGAGTTCCATTTTTAACTTTTTGAGGAAACTCCATACTGTCTTCCACGGTAGCTACACCAGTCTGCATTCCCACCAGCAGTGCACGAGGGTTTCTTTTTCTTCACATCCTCGGCAGCACTTGTGGTTTAGGGTGCAAATCAAAATAACAATGAGATACCATCTCACACCAATTAGAACCTTTTTAAAATATCCGAAAAGACAGACTGATTCACAGATGTTGACATCAGTTAGACAAGACATTGGCAAAAATGATGGACTTTGTGGAATCATGGATTGATAGCTAGAGAAAAATATAATTGTCTTTCTAAGAAATACATAAAAACACCTTTTAAATTTATATTTTCTACATTCCAGATTCCCTTGGAAAGAATTTTAATGGGCACTGATAATGTCACAGAATTTTCTTGCATCATCTAATTCTGCCCATTAACCTGGGGAAGCCTGGATCCAAGTCCCTGGTCTTGGCTGATTTTTCAATTCACTTTTCACTGAGTGTTGGACTTTGTAAATACACTAATTAGAACAAGATTGCAAAGGCTGAGTATTCTTTTGCAGTTTTATTCCAATCATGTTAACTTTGAAAGCACCAGAAATTTTTCAAATGAACTGTCAGTATCATTACAAATGCAATGACTGCTCTGTCTGAAATATGTTAAAAATCACATGGAGAAACTTCAAAACATTACAGTGCTCTCATGATACTAAGGCATACATCCCAATTTTTCTCGTGTGTTATTTAATTATTGACAATTCCCATCATACCACCTACCACAGGGTGCCCTTTCACCTAATTAGGAATTATGTATAACACACTGAAGGCCAAAAAAAAATGGTTTACAAGGCCAAACTATTCAGCTCAGAGACTCTAAAAAACCTGAAAACCTAAGAGTTTCTATATGTGTCAATCAATAGCTTTGCTGACATCAAATGGGGCCAAAACCCATCTGGCATTTGAAGTGTGATTTTAGCTGAATATCTTTACAACCATCTTGAGTAAATCTTCTAACAGGCACAAGATTTAATAAAAAGATAAAGGCTGGAAAAAATGTAGCTTTAAAACATCCATATTCCTGCCCTAACCGGTTTGGCTCAGTGGATAGAGCGTCAGCCTGTGGACTCAAGGGTCCCAGGTTCGATTTCAGTCAAGGGCATGTACCTTGGTTGCGGGCACATCCCCAATAGGGGGTGTGCAGGAGGCAGCTGATCGATGTTTCTCTCTCATCGATGTTTCTAACTCTCTATCCCTCTCCCTTCCTCTCTAAAAAATCAATAAAATATATTTAAAAAAATAAAACGTCCATATTCCTATCTGATATTTTCTCTACCTACCTCCAAATATGCAAAAGACACCAGTAAAGACTTGGTAGTATTTATTTGGTAGTCATTGATACCCTTCAATAACTTTATATTAATTAAATACTTATTAGAGGGTTTTAAAACTGTTGTTACTAGTATATCATTTAAAATATGGAATATTGCTATCTTTTATATTAAAGTAATTAAAGAAAAAAGTTAATGTGAAAACTTTAAATGTGTTTGCATTGAAGTAGTGTCTATTTTAACATATTGCTGCATCATTTTTTCAGCTTCTGATTTGTTTGTATAGTCATTCTTTCATTGAACAGAAGGACGGTGGGATTACTGGGCAGGTGTGGCACTGGCAGAGCATGCTCCCTTTCAGGGATGTGTGAAGCCAGAGCAGGGGCTCTGTTTTGCTTTGAGGCTCCTTTGAACAGAATTGGCAAATGACTTGCATGCTCTTTTTCTCTGATCTGGTGAATCAGGGGTTTCTTTTCCGTGGCATTTAAGATCCTTTTTAAAATGAACTTAAATTCCTGCATAAAATATTTTATATGTACTATAATAATAACAACTACTAATTATTAGCTATTTTTAATATTATAGTAATAACCATGCTTCCTACTTATTGAGCACTTACCAGCCTGGCCTCTCCCAGAGAATTCAGGCCTCATTTTTAAGAAAAGCAGGTGCTCTTGCTATTCCTGTTTATGGATGAGAAAACGGAGGCTCAGCAATAAAGCAAATAATCCTGCTTGAACCCCAGCCCCACTTGATCCTGCCCACTGGTGTGTAATAGTCACAGAGAGAGATGCTGAGTCCCTTAAAAATTATAAAGCAGGTAGTACAACCATGCTGTAGGGCCCTGAGCAGCTTTTTTCAAATATAGATTTCTTAATCCCATCCCCTGTGATCCCAGGGCACCAGGTTGAAGTAGGTCCAGGGGTTCTGAATATATATACATACATACATATATATATATATATATAGTCATGTGCTGTGTAATGATCAGGATGCATTCTGAGAAGTGTGTTACTAGGTGATTTCATCCTTGTGCGAACACTGCAGAGTGCATTGCAGTACACACACCTAGATGCTCTAGCCTACTACACACCCAGGCAGTATGGGATTGCCTCTTGATCTCAGACAACAGGCCTGTATTACAAGGAACAAGCCTATAGTATAAACATGTTACTGTACAAAACAGCATGAGATTACATTGAGAACAAGAGAAATCGATGAAACCAAGAGCCATGGTGAGCACAACATGGACAGCTTGGCCAATGTAGCATAGCGCACCTTTCACAGCAAACTCCCTTCATAAACAGAAAGAGCACACCCTAAAATAACAATAAAGAGTACAGAATAGTAGCTCCAAACCAGTAATGTAGTCTTTTACTATCATCATCAATATTATGTAGTGCACATAATTGTATGTCTATGCTTTTATCCGACTGGCAGCTGCAGGTGTGTTTATAGCAGCATCACCATACATGTGAGTGATGTGCTGCACTCTGGACTTTACAATGGCTACATCACTAGGTGATAGAGATTTTCCAGCTCCATTTTACTCTTATGGGACCACTGTCTCATATAAGCAGCCTATGGTTGACCAGAATGTCATTATGCAGCACACACACACACACACACACACACACACACACACACACACACATATATATATATGGCCTGGTGCACAAAATTTGTGCACTGGAGGGGTGTCTCTCAGCCCAGCCTGCACCCTCTCCAATCTGGGACGCCTCGGGGGGTGTCTGACTGTCTAAACTGGCAGTCAGACATCCCTCTCACAATCTTGGACTGCTGGTTCCCAACTGCTTGCCTCTCTGCCTGCCTGATTGCCCCCAACTTCCCTCCCTTGCAGGCCTGATTGCCCCCAACTGCCCTCCCCTGCTGGCCTGATCACCCACAACTGCCCTCCCCTGCCGGCCATCTTGTGGTGGCCATCTTGTGACCACATGGGG